GATTCACTTGTGTGTGCTGGCAGCAAAGGTTCCTGGTTCACCTCTTTCCTGCCTGCATCCACCTGTTGATCTAGGCAAATCTGCCTCTCCCTGACACACAAAGGAGGAATTAATTGAAGAATCAACCATATGGTCAGCAATGACCGCACAGCCCCATTCCAGGAAGCTTAGATAGGAGAGCTAATATTTGAAAAGTCTGGGTTGGTGAACTAGATCAGTTGTGGGAAATTCTGTTTTACATCTTGTAGATGGCACTTTGGTCATTGTCAAACACAGAAACTATGGACACATGTGGCTTATGCAGTATGAATTCTCTGTTCCCATTCTGTCCCCCTTCATAGAATGAAGCTGGAAGGTTCATGTTTATTCCAGACTTTCTAAAGTTGAGGATACAGCAAAAATGTCCCACTGAAAAGTTACTCCTTTTAGCCCTGTCACTCACTCAGGCATGGGGCAGAAAGGCGCCACAGCACCGTGTCAGGAATGTGATGACAAAGAGGCCCAGTACGATTTCTCAATGACCTTCCTTTGTACAGAGTGCTGGAGGCTTACGCTGTCTCCTTGAGCAAACTGGAGCAAGGTGTGTTCCCTGAAACGCAGCCCGACCCAGTGCTTACCTTGGCAGGCTGAGCTCCAGCTGGATTTCACCTGCTTGCCTCCCTCCTCAACTGTGCCTATGCAGAGTGTGCCAGTGTGTGCCCGTGTGGTTCTGCGCTTGTACAACCCTGCACATATTTCAAATGTAAACCAAGGGTTAAACATTACCAGAAATCTTTTTTAAAACACTCTGATTTAACACTTACACCTAAAACAGGTTATGAATGCTCAAATACAGCCTAGATTTTGGCAGCTTAGATAAAAATACATTATCCTGCTATATTCTAGAAAAATGACTGTGGTATTGGTAAATTAAATGGAAACTGTGAATAAGCAGATGAGAGGTTCCCTAGAAATGGTGAGTTCCTTGTAGAGAGACTTGGCACAATTCATATTTTTAAATAAGGACTAGAATAAACATGCAGCAAATATGAGACTAGGAAATGTAATATTAGCTGAAATGGGTTATCTGATGGTCACACATTTCACTCAGAAATATTAAAAGCATAGAAATGCTTCATAGGAAACAATGCCTGTCACTCCCCCTCTTCGCGGAGGAACGACACTAAACCCTGCCTAGGCTTCATATCCGAGTCACGGCACCATTATGTCGCTCCCCCTCTTCATGGAGGAACGACACTAAACCCTGCCTAGGCTTCACATCCGAGTCACGGCACCATTATGTCGCTCCCCGTCTTCGTGGAGGAACGACACAGGACCCTGCGCTGTTCTTTTGTCTGCTCGGCCCTCCCCGGGTTTGCTGCTGGTTCTTCCCGGGTTGGCTACCGACCCTTCCACCTCCGTGGAAGGGCGGTTCCCCCTGCCACTTTCCCCACTTCCGCGGGGGAGCGGCACACCGCCGGCCGGCTCTCTCGGGGGCTGCACAGGTGTTCCTTCAGATAGATGTTCCTGGTACATGTTGTCTCTCTCCTCCTTTATAGTCCTCTTCCACCAATCCCAACTCTGCTACCCACACGCCGAGTACGCTGCCCTCCTCCAATCAGGAGCAGGTCCTACAGTTTATTGGTTGAACTGGAGGCAGCTGTGTAGAAGCTTACTCCTCTCCCAGCGCCATATTGTGGGAGAGCAGATGCATAGAATAAGTCTTAATTCCAGTAACAGTCTAGTCCGAGTTGCTCCCAGTTGCTCCCCACAAATGCCCAATCAGTATATTGAACAAAATTTGATAAGTCTTTATTGTTTTTTTTTTTTTTAATTTATTTGAAAGGCAGAGTGACAGAGAGGGAGAGACAGAGAGAGGGGGTTTTTCCATCTTCTGATTCACTTCCCAAATGGCTACAATAGCCAGTTCTGGGCCAGGGTGAAGCCAAGAGCCAGGAACTTCATTCTGGTCTCCTATGTGAGTGGTAGGAGCCCAAAAAGTCCCATCTTCCACTGCTTCCTCAAGCGCATTAGCAGAGAGCTGATCAGAAGCAGAGCAGCAAGGATTCGAACTGCTGCATCACAAGTACGGGATATTGGCATCGTAAGTAGCGCTTAACCCACTGTGCCGCAATGCTGGACCCAACAGTCTCTATTTCTTAAAATAGATGCACTTATTCATTTGTAAAGAGAGCCAAAAAGAAATCAGAAAGGGCTTTGAATTTTTCCTTTTAGAAAATTAAAAAAAAAAAAAGTGTACATGACCACAATAGCTTATTAGGTCCTTGACAATTACCACATGGCACATTTTACATGGGAAGAAACGGTCAAAAGATCCGAATTTTCTGGAAGTTAACTCAAAAGCTGAATACAACTAGCATTTCTGGATTTTATGGTATAGAATGGAATGGAATTTCCTTTATAATGAAAACAAGATCATGAGCTTTGCTTATAATAAATTTCCTCAAAGGTTTAGGCTCCTTACAGTAGGTTGTTGCCAATCCAGTAAAACAGATGTTGAACAACATTAATGTAAATCTTAAACACAAACCCTATGATTTCATTCACCAAAGAGCTGAGACATGGATTTTCAGTCTGACAAACACCCTCGAGAGTGCAGAGAAGTGCAGCTGGGCAGTGCACTGATGGTCTGGGGCAGGGGAGGCAAACTCCTAGGGCCACAGAGTGAACGTTTTAGGCTTTGCAGGCCTCAGAGGGTTTCTGCCACACGTTCTTTCTGTCTTGCTGTTGGTAGAAACCATGCCTTTATAACGTAAGAACCACTCCTCTCTCGTAGACTACACAGCTGCAGAATGGATCTGGCTCATCGACCCCCAGCCTAGAGCCCTCGGATATTCTGTTTTTATCATTTTCTTTTAGGCACAGATGGTCTCAAAAGGAGTATTTTCAGGGACTCATATTTACATGCTGAAAGTGCACTCTGCTGCATTCTTAGAGGTAATTCTGCAAAACTTCATTTAAAAGGGATGCCTGGCAGATCTGTCATTGCTAGGAAGGTTTCAGAAGCTTTATGACATTTTTTGAATTAAAAAAAATTCTTAATTTACTTTCTTGAGAGGTAGAAAGAGAGCTCCCATTCACTGGTTCACTTCCCAAAAGCTCCCAAAGGGTTGGCGGCTGAAGACCAGAACCAGGGTCTCAATCCCGGTCTCCCCATGTGGGAAGCAGGAACCCAATCACTTGAGCTGTGACTGCTGCCTCCTAGGGTCTGCATTAGCAGGAAGATGGAATCAGGAGTCAGAACTGGGAATCAAACCCAGGCACTCTCATGTGGGATTTGGGCATTGTAACCTGTGGCCAAATGTCCACCTCCATTTTGTGCATATTTAAGTAACTGAAGACTAAATACTGTTCAAGTACCACATTTTGCTCTTTAAAGCCATGCAGTAAGTCTTGTTAGTAAGGGTTGACAAGGTGAGCAGAGTGTGGGATGACCTGTGGTTGGTGCTGTAATACTGACAGCTACTCAGATAAACAGAATGGGGAACTTCAGGTCATGTGCAGGACTGTAACTGAATTTCTTAATTTGGGTTTTCTAGTATGAAACATTCTTGTGGTCCATCTTTTCTACACTAGCCACTATCCAAAACAGGTAGTAATTTGCTGGCTTTACTGAGAAATGAAAACCTTAAGAGGAAGTCTTAGATATTTGAAGTATACTAAATTGGGGGGGGGGTATAGTTGGTAATGCTTAGCTTTTACTCCAAATGGCTAAATGTGTGTCAACAACAGTAGAAATTCTGAAGATAACAACACTGCTTGAATCCTTTAGTGATTTCTCTTCTCTTAGCTGCTGTGATTGCCCAGCACAGAAAGGCCTATGCCTTGGTAAGATTCGTTATCTCTTATAATTTATGTCACTGTCAAGGTTTCAAAGTCTGTAGCCCAAAGTCAGAATTTTGTTTATGGTTTGAATTTCAAATGACTCTTTATCTGAGTATGGTGTGACCTATGGTGCTATAGTATTGATAGCTGCTCAGATAAACAGAATGGGGAACTTTTAGGTCATTTGCAGACTGTAACTGAATTTCTTAATTTGGGTTTGAATTTCCCTTAATTATTGTTTGAATTTCAAATGAAATTCAATTGTGACTCTTTATCTGAGCATAGGAAAGCTGATCTGGCTGGCAATTTTGAGGAAATTAATTCACTGGCATGCCCACACAGACCCAGCAATGCTGGAGACCACCCCATCCCACCCCTGCAACTACAGCTAGACGTTAGGAAAAAGGTGTCTCCTGGTTCTTAACAGAAGTGCAACAGTTGAAAAAACAGCATTGGAACTTTTCAGTTAGATGGATCAAGGCGACACGGCTTCTTTTTTTCTTCTCCTCCATGAAAAGGTTATAATTACTTAAAAAAACTTTACTTCTTTGAGAGGCAGAGAGGGTGAGAGAAAACACAAGCATTCCCATCCACTGGTTTATCCCCCAAATGCCTGAAATGGGCAGGAGCCAAAGCCGGCAGCAGGCAACCCAATGCAGGTCTCGCATGTGGTGGCAGGAACACATCAAGACAGATACTTGGGCCGGCATCGCGGCTCACTAGGCTAATCCTCCGCCTAGCGGCGCCGGCACACCGGGTTCTAGTCCCGGTCGGGGCGCCGGATTCTGTCCCGGTTGCCCCTCTTCCAGGCCAGCCCTCTGCTGTGGCCAGGGAGTGCAGTGGAGGATGGCCCAGGTGCTTGGGCCCTGCACCCCATGGGAGACCAGGAAAAGCACCTGGATCCTGGCTCCTGCCATCGGATCAGCGCGGTGCACCGGCCGCAGCGCACCGGCCGCGGCGGCCATTGGAGGGTGAACCAACGGCAAAGGAAGACCTTTGTCTCTCTCTCTCACTGTCCACTCTGCCTGTCAAAAAAAAAAAAAGAAAAAGAAAAAAGACAGATACTTGAGCCCTCACTGCTGTCTCCCGGAGTCTGCCCTAGCAGGAAGCCGGAGTCAGAAGCAGAACTGCTTATTGGATCCAGGCACTCTGATGAGGGACACAGGCACCTTAACTGCTAGGTCAAATGCCTGCCCAGCTTTTAACCACATTTTAATCCTTATTTCCAAATGGTTAGAGCACAGTAAACAAAATGTAAGTGTAGACATCAAACAACCAGACATCATGATCCAACAATATTATAGCATTGATATGGTGGCGAATTTAACACAGAGGTAGATCTGCAGATAGCCACAGTTGCACATTCCAGTAATGACTGGTTCTTTCGGAAACATCAGTTTTACATAAATGCTCATCCAGTAGCATGTCATAAACCACAAGGCCAAAAGAATTTCCTTAACTTGCTTAATTGTCAAGTTTAGCCACAAATAATTGTCTTCAAGGATGAAGTATGGAATTCATAAAACTCGTAAGCACTCTTTATCATACACTTTCAGGGACACTGGCTTTACAACAGAAGGTAATTATGAGAGGCATTTAAAGATGTTCATGCACCATATGCATGAAGTCACTGGCTTCCTAATTTTCTTTGACTGACACCCCTCTCCTTATTATAAGAAAGATCCTCTTTGTATATAGATTTACTGCCCTGGAATGTTGCAGTATGATTAAACCATAATATTTGATCTACTTCTGTTATTTGGGTCCTCATTTGCAGATTATTCACAAGCAAATCATTATCACAAGAATGAAAGAGATTACTTCAGGTCTGGGGATGTTTTTTAAAAGCACCACGGTAGGGAGGGGCGGCTAGAAAGGCTAATCAGATGACCACCACCACCTTTCACCTAGTTTTTCTAAAAAAAAAAAAAAAAAAAAGAAAGAAAAGAAAAAAGTAAATTGCTTCAGTTTCCCAGAGTGAAATGGCAGCACAAGATGGATATTCAAATGTGTGAGCAGGGTACTTCTACGCCCTCGTAAAGTGGATGTTCTCTAGCAGAGTTCGTGTTGGAGGCTCACGGAGGAGCACTTTCCACTTCGGTACGTGCTCAGTGGGGAACTGGATTTTTGTATACTCTAGTTAACAGGAAGTTTTCCAAGAAAACAGAGGGAAGGGAGAGGGGACAAATCCAACCTTGTAAAGTCCTAGAATCCTAGAAGGAGAAAAGATAAGGCCACTGATATAAAGGTGGCTAGCAACATCCCCTCGGTCAGCAGTGGCAGAGACAGACGGCCAATCCGGAGCGCTTGCTGAGGCTGCCGCACAGAGCCGCCGTGTGAGACCCAGCTGCTTGGGGAATAAAGAGGCCGGCTTTGTCTCTGCTGCTGCGCAGCACCTCTAACAAGCCTGATGCTGAGCTTGCAAGCTCAGTAGTCTATCGGAACCAGCATCTGTGAGGAACTGGCCGCACCCTTAAGTCTTCCAGGCGTGCAGCTGCCTTTCCAAAAAGGTGCTGGGAAGCTGTATTCAAGTTACTAAGGGTGATGGCGGCTGAATCCCTCACTCAACAAACTGCCCTGCTGGCCTCCGTCTGAATCTGACTTTAATACTGCAGAATTTCAGTCACGAAGGAGTGCCTCTGTTTCTACCTGTAGATGCTCTATGAAGGATTATATCTGGCTGAAAAGTACAAAAAGATAATGGGATGAAACCAATGAATTCATTCAAGTGTGCACTAGCTAGTGGCCCTGGTAGCTGCAGATGAAATACAGCCAGAAGTCAGTCGTGAGGCACAAGAAAGAAAAGTCTTTTGACCTGGGCATTGGAACTGTTTAGTTTGATGTCCTCTTAAGCACAACCCATGGCCTCTCTGAGATGGGAAAACACTGCATGATGTTAAAAGTCAGTTTTCTGATATTTTCAAGCAAGTTATGCTATTAGGATGGAATAGCAACAGTTCACACCACCAGTCATGTTTGCTGAGTCATAAAAACATAAATAACCTAAAGATCTACAAAGATCAACAGGAACAGAGCAATCACCTTTACCTGACAGGGCTGTAGCATTCTGCAGGTGCTGTGGGCCCTCAGAAAGATCACGGGATGGCCCATTCGCTCGGGCTGGGAAGTGACAAGCATGGAACCCGGTGGTAAGCTCGAGCTTGTCTGCAACACTGAGACACAGTGAAGAGCCACCCAGAACCCAGCAGCTAGCGAGCTTCCTTTTTTTTTTTTTTTTCCTTTCTACCATTGGAAAACCATCCATGAGGTTAATATGACAACAGTATAAATCAAGGCTGACACAGCTAAATGCTGGCTCAAGCTGACCATCTGCATATGGGGTTTTTCCAGTCCTTAGCTCACTGTTTTCATTATTAATCAAATATTAAGAAAGTTATAATTCACATGTAACCCTTGTCAAAAGCGAAAATGGTTAATTTCCTATGTCCAGCACAAACTGTTAATCTGTTAAGAAAAGCTCAGTTATCCCAGCATTCAAGTATGTACATACACATCATAACTGTTTCTTCATAAACAACTTAGGATGAGATAAAGCCATGAGCTAAACACCCAACAGGCCCCATTCTGCATGCACTGTGTGGCTGGTAGCATTAGTTTGACGGGCCCTCCTTTATTGTGATGGTCATGATATATTTGAACATGTAGATCTCTAAGGATTTTCTTATTCCTTTTGCGAGGCCTATGGTAGATATATTCTTTTTTCCTTGGTGGAATAATTCGTCAGTGGTTCCTGAGAGGCTCAAACATGATCACTGGCCAGATTCCGAAGAGAAACTGTTTGGAAACAAGTTAGGGCAAAATGAGAGAAGATAAAATTGTGGCATGCTATCCTTAGAAAGAACGAGAACGAGTGGGGCTAACACAACAGTGCTTGGTAGGTTTGCTAGTGACTGTCCTGGCCTTTGAGGCCTGTACTCCTTCCAGGCTTGCACCCTATCTCAGATGCTACTTTCATTTAACTTACTTAAATGTATTAAACATCTACTTTGTCAAGCATGGAGCTGGGCATTTAAATCCTCCATAATCCTTGAACCAACTCTAATGTAGCTGTTAACAGCTCCCTCTCATTGTTGAAGTAACTAAGGCTTCAAGAAAAGAGGCGTGTCCAAGATCGCCAGTAGTAAGTGGGAGACTGAGATGCAATGCTTTCTGGTTCCGAGGCCCGTGCTCACTCCACTACCTCTCCAGTCCTCCTTTCTTCTCCCATCCCCATTCCATGCTCCCAAAGTCCCCCCCAACACACATACACAATCACACATATCTCTTGGGGACTCACCTTCACTTTTGGCCTGTATCTCAGGTAAAGTGTTCTTGTATATAAACTAAAAGAAAAGGGAGAGAGGGAAAGCTCATCAGATTAATTTTTAATCCATAAAAACTGGCTTACTGACAAATTTAACCATAATGCCTTCATAAATACAAAGAAAAAACGACATTGGTTTTTTGTTGTTGTTGTTGTTCATTCAGCAACCTTTTTTGAGCAGCTACTCTGTGTAGAACACTTGGAAGGCATTTGGGAACACAGAAATGATCAACTCCCAGACTGCCTGTAGGACGTCTGTAGCTTGGCAGTGAGCATTCCACTGGAGCTTGCTCTGATTAGTGATCCATCTAGTTTTGGGGTACAAGGATTAAGGTAGAGCATTCTCAGCAACTTTGGAAACGTGTATGTCAGCTCTACAAGGATTAAAGCCAGCAGGTCTAAGGTTGGTGTTGTGGTGTGTGGATTAAATGCAAGCATATCGGCTAACAAGGAAGGTAACAAACTTTCATAGCATCCTTTGAAGTGAGTTGCCTCTGGAAATTAGATGAGTCTAAAATAAATGCAAAGTATCAGATATAATTATTTTTAAGTTTATTTTTATTTATTTAAGAGGGAGATGGAAAGGGGGAGGGTGAGAGAGAGAAAAAGAGAGAGAGGGAGGAGAGAGAGAGAATGAGAACTGTTCCCATCTGCTGATTCACTTCCCAAATGCCCACAATGGCAGAGACTGGTCCAGGCTGAAGCTGGGAGACAAAAGCCAGGATCTCAGTCCAGGTGTCCCCAATTGAGTGGCAGGAACCCAAATCACTTGGGTCATCACTGATATTTCCCGGGGTCTGCATCAGCAGAAAGCTGCAGTCAGGAGCTGAACTGAACCCAGGCACTCCAAGTGGGATGCAGGTATCCTTACTAGTATCTTGACATTTAGGCCAACACCTGCCCCCAAATATTATATTATTTAGAATTGTCAGGGCGGGTGTCATGGTGTAGCTGGTTAAGCCTCCACTTAGGGACACCTGCATCCCATATCAGAGTGCCAGTTCAAGTCCCAGTTCCTCAGCTTCTTCATTTAAAAAAAAAAAAGATTTATTTTACTTATTTGAAAGAGTTACAGAGAGAGGTAGAGACAGAGAGAGAGAGGTCTTCCATCAGCTGGTTCACTCTCCAAATGGCCACAATGGCCGAAGCTGTACCAATCTGATGCCAGGAGCCGGGAGCTTCTTCCAGATCTCCCACGCAGGTGCAGGGGCCCAAGGACTTGGGCTCTCTTTGTAGGCTGAACCAACGGCATAACAGAGACCTTTCTCTGAAGATGTGTCTCTGGACTGTCCACTCTGCCTGTTATGGGATGCCGACACTTCAGACCAGGGCTTTAACCCCAAAAACAAAAACAAAAGGAAAGAAGAAAAAGCAAATTTATGTATGTATGTTCCTGCCACAGAGACAAGTATTTCTATGTCTTCTACAATTCAGGCTGTGAGCAGGAAGCAGCTTATCCATTTTAATACAAATATCCGTTAACAAATTAGTTGGGGATTTCATACTGTTTAAGTAGAAATCACCTTGATGTGAATGTCAGGTTGGGAAGTAAGTCTAAACCAGGGGTCAGTAAGTGTTTTCTCTAAAGGACAAGATAGGAAATA